GACAAATTTATGATGACTTATAACTTGCCATATCATACAGACTTTGGTGTTTTGATGTAAAGTGTCAGTTTGTAGTTTTAGTGAATTAATTACTAGTGTCACTTCTATAGAGTCTATTCACACTTTTGGCACCAATATTAATTAGCCTAAAGCTGGCAAGACATGTTGCAATACGATAAGATTGACATGTACATGTTTCTATCACATGTACATATTTAAACAATGGACCATTGTCATCAGTAGCCAGTATCTATAAATAGAGGTACATACTACTGACTGGAATAGTTCATTCATTTCATCATATTACTAAAGGTCATATAAGAGATTATACTAGATATCAGCTACTGAATGATGAATGCCTTCCAGTGTTTGGTCCTTGTTGCTGCTATTGGATTCATCATTACTACTACAGTGTCTGGTGAGGTTTGTTATACTGATGAAAACTGCAAGGATTACAATGCCTCGACGGTACATATAATTTGGTAGTAAAAATAAACTATTAAGTGATGTATCTTATGAATAATAGACCCAAGTCTGCTGTACTTTTGAAGGAATTAAGTCTTTCAAGCTTTACAGTGCTGCTTCTTGTATGAAGTGCAAGCTGTAGCTGAAATAAAGAAAGCTTTGAAACAAAAGAAGAACTGATTTAATAACTAAACAACAATAATTAGTAATGATACACATGTACGTCTAATATAATTTATATTGGTATTAATTTCAGCCAATTATTATTAATATGTAGCTATAAGATATAAATTCTCTTAATTTTCTGCTGATACTCTGGACATTTAAAAAAGGCATGTATGCATGGTGTAACAGAGTACATGCTGTTTTTACTTGGTCAATTAAGACAAAGGTTCATGTACAAAGTACTAGAAGATTAAAAGAGACTTAGTATGAAGAAATAAATTCCAACTATGCATGGAAACGAGATGGAAAGAATCTTAGGAATAATTTTAAATAATGTAGATCTACTTGTTTGACTGAAATGTACAAATGCAATGGCTACAAATAGTTTATAGAATTATTTTTTGAAAAGTGTCTCCAATTCTTACTACGTTTTCTGATACAGAGATAGTTGGCCTAGCAAATGCAGAAAAATGATATTGGTGCCCTTGATCTTATGAACTGTTGTACTGAAATGTGGGCTATAGATAGTCTTAGCCTTTTTAAAAATAGATCCCAATTCTTATTACATTTTTTGTTGCAGAGATAGTGTACAATATTGGTGTCCTTATGATTATTTTACTGTAGTCTTGCACAGTAACTTGTACCAAACCTAGTGTTTTGATAGTGTATTAATTACTGGTGTCACTTCTATAGGGTCTATTCACACTATTGGCACCAATATTAATTAGCCTAAAGCTGGCAAGACTTGTTGCAATACGATAAGATTGACATGTACATGTTTCTATCACATGTACATTTTCAAACAATGGACCATTGTCACAGTAGCCAATAAAAGAGGTACATATATACTGACTGGAAATTCTGGAATAGTTATTCATATATAATAATAAGGTCATAAGAGACTATACTAGATATCAGCTACTGAATGATGAATACCTTCCGGTGTTTGGTCCTTGTTGCTGTTATTGGATTCATCGTTATCACCACATTAATTAAGATTAAAGAACATGAAATACTTGGTTTTGATGACATTAGTGCTACAATTTCTCTATCTTGCCCAGTAGTATGCTTATATCTGTCTTATCTGTACCATTAAAAGGTGTACACCAGAAACCAAAAGATATTGCTATTAATAGGCCATTAAGAACTAAGTCATCACTATGTATGCCAACTGAACTCCTTTTATTATTTTTTATGTATAAAATTAAGCAAGCAATGAGAAGTAGAGTTACTTTTGCATTTTTTCCAAATTTCTTTTTAAATTTGTTTAACTTATTTCTCAATGATTGTAACACTCTAACTAGTACAATGCATGATATGTGCTGCAATGGATGGCATCGGAACTATTATTGCGCGAGCATGGGTGTGGCTGTGATCACGTGAATGTTGTCATAGATATTAGATATTAGATATTAGTTGTGAGCCCCACCCTCAAGCTACCTAGCTCAATAATGGCTTCAAAGCCGTTGAGTTTTAAGTTCACGTCTTCTCTCTCTTCTGTACCAGTAGACCCTCCAAATCAACTGACAAGTATATTTATTTGTTTATTAATTTTATTAAATGAAATTTTTTATTAGTTACTGATCTATTTGAGGTTCGTCAATTACTCAGAAGACACGGTTATTCAGGAGTCAAATCATTGGATCTAGGTCGTTATCTTGGTCTAGCTCCTACTACACTGGATGTTATTAGATTGAACTATAGAGAAGATACTGAGAGTTATCTGCGGGAATGCCTTACTAAATGGTTAGAGAAAGCTGATAAAGTAAAAGACACTAAAGGTGGTCCTACTATTTATTCATTGGTATATCAGCATTGAGGGAATTAGGAGAGAATGGAGTAGCTGACGGAATAGATATGGAGAGTGAGTCTGATAAAAAAGAATATATCATTTATTTGTTTATTGTTTAGTGCATCCTGCTTGTAAAATTCTTGCTCATTATACCTCAAAACCATGCAAGCTCAAAACATTCTGTTGTGTCAGCATTACCTCTGTTCGTTATGCAAATGTATGAAGCAAAACTGATAAAAGAGTCATATCCCATTAGTAATGTAAAAGGAGAAACACTACTGGATGAAATACAGGAAGCTGTTTGCATTAATTATAGAAAACTTAAACCATTTGCTGAAATTTTATGCACATGCTCAATCACTATTATGGTAGGAAGAGCTATTAAGAGAGACTACAGTAAGTACATGTATTATAGCATAATACCAGTAACTAATGATTGTTGTGTAGGAAAGGTTTATGGGAGTGATGATGAGAATAGTAAGGATTAATTTAACTTTTTATTTATAACTGAAACATTAATTATTTAGTTGAAGGGCTCAAGATTTATCTTCCTAACAGTATCACTTCAAAGTTTAAGTCAATGCGATTGAAGTTTGGGCAGGCATTCATTAACGTTAGATCAATCATGATGAGCAATCATCAGTCTCAATCCATTGATGATATCAAACGTGTATTGGGGCTTCAGCTTCAGCTAGCTCGGTGTGAAGATATCCGTAGCATTTTGCAATTAATACATGATGAAAGTTCACTTGATGACATTAGTTTGCTGGAGCATCTTGTTAATAAGCTCAATATAGATGATGCTAAGATAGTTATTGAGGATTATAAAGGAGCTATTGAGGAGTTAAAAATGAAGCTTCGGCAATTTTTGAAAGGAGAGCTTTCAAAAGCATTATCGCTAATTCAATATGTTACAATTGTTGTTGATAAAGATACGAATGAGTCAGTACTTAAAGATGTCAAGAAATTGTCATCAGCTGTATTACCCCATTACGTAAAGTTAAATGTCATTAGATTGTGGGACATATGGAAGCAAAAATCATTCACTGATACTTATGTAGACCCTACTGTACAAAGTAAAGATACCACAGTCTCACCTAAAGTTTCTGCAGGTAGATCAATATTTTAATACATCAGGTAACTATTGAGTATAGGAACAACAGAATCAGTGAGCCATTCTTACCAGGAGGAGGAGGAAAACACAGATAATGAGGATGAAGTTATGTTGCTACAGGAGAAAGTTAAAAGAATTCAAAAACAACTGGAGGAAGAAAAGGAACTCCATGAAAAAGAGAAACAATTACATAAACAAGCTAAAAGGGAATATGAAGAAGAAATACTTCAACAGAAAAGGGAAGTCATTCAAAATGAAGAGAGAATAGCAACACTTACTGAACTACATGAGGAAGTTATTGGTCTCTTGAAACTCAAAGGAGAACAAAATGAAGAATTAAAATCAGGTTAGTCATAATTTAATTATTGTTGATTGATACTCCAAACATTGTTACGCTGTAGACAATGAACTTACTCATAAACAACTGGAGAAAGAGAAAGAGGATTTACAAAGAAAGATTCATGATCTTCAGCAAGAATTAGAGCAAGTGTCAGTTCATTGTAATTATACTATCACTCAGTCAGGTATGTATGTGTGACATATGTGTACATGTACATACATGTACATATCTGATATATTTTGTTGTGTTTCAGTGTTTTCAGTATTCACATTATTTTACATTATAGAATTACAGAGTGAAATACAGAAGATTAAAAATGAAAATGAAATATTTCAAAGTACGTACATACACACATTATTAATTACTAGTTAATGGCCTCTTCTTATAATTAGAACAAAGGAAAGCATTGATACTGGAGAATGAAAGATTAATGTCATTACTTAAAGAATATAATGGTATACTTATTATAAATAATTATTATTAAATTGCATTTGATAGTACCAGTACAACAGAAAGAAGAGACTGAGATATTACAAGAGACTGAGACTGTACATACATGTACATGTACTTATATCAGTAAAGGTTAGTTCAGTATTTTCCTGCCATATACAGTACAATTCTTTCATTGTGAAACTATTGTTATTTATTATTATTTCTGTAGATGACATATCACAATTATCAGTGATACTGGAACCAGTTGAAGATGACTGGTATCATATTGGACAGTGTCTTGAAGTGAAGGAATCAGTGTTAACTGAAATCAAAGAGATGACACCAGTTGATTCAAGATTAACTCGTGTACTTGAGACCTGGTGTCATGAGAAGGATAGAACAATAACTGAACTGAAGGAATCATTGAAAAGAATGGATAGAGATGATATACTGGAAGGTAAGGATTAGTGATTGGTATATATTAATTATATTCATGTACTGTTACATTGTCATTCACTGTAGGTTTACATGAATTACCTACTGGACAATATACAATGAATAATGAGGAAGAATATGTTATTAATGGTATGTTGTTGTTTATGAAGCTGTTGACACGTACCGTATTTTACTGATTAAACGCCCAGGCATTTATTTCTTAGCAGCAAAAAAATTCTTTGAAAAAATAAAAAAGATATTTCAAGCGGGATAGAACCCCCAATTCTCAGCAAGTCAGACCAGGCTTTTACCAATTAGCACTTTAGAGCTATCTAAACAGTGAAGCATTGTTTTGGTAGAAATATGCATATCTATGGCTAGAATATATTAATGACAGGCGTTTATTTGGACCAGGCATTTATACGGTAAAATAGGGTACATTAATTATCATTATTTTTAGTAAAAGATTCAAATGATGAAGTTGAGACTCAAATTGAAACTGAAAACAAAGAAATACAAGCAACAAAAACAAGTATCTAATTATTCATTTTTTATTTATTACGACTTTTATACTTTAGCTCTTGACAAAGAAATTCAGTTCAACTATCTTGTACCATCACAAGGTTAAGTCCCTGTAATATAGTATATACTTTGCCTCAGGCCAAATTTTGACAAAAATTGAAAGAAAGAATTCTCCATTTTTATATTTTTTCCTGATATGTATAGGTGTACCTATGTACATGGTGTTTTAAGTTTAAACTGATTCCAATTAAAATTTGATTTTTAAATAAATTTTTAAAGTTGCTTCATGTACTGTATACATTGTCATTCACTGTAGCTTTACATGAATTATCGTTCATTGTCTCATCTTTGTTCATAATTACATAGGCATTTTAACAATACATAATTTCACGTGTTATACTTTCTACAGATAATTTGGAAGGTCTGAGTGAGTCCCAAATAGCAGGGAAGAAGTTGTTCTTAGTTCAAGGAGACAAACCTCAACTGATGAACTGGGAGGAGTATGGACTGAGGATTAGTGTACCAGAGGATAGTCTATCAGCATCAGAGACCGTAGAAGTATCAGTACTAGCTCTTGTAGGAGGACACTTCAAGTACATATACTGTACATGTAGTAATGTCTGTATAGTTAGTGGGGAATTATTGTCAGGGAAAAGAATTGATAATTTATCCTTTATGTGCCTACTGAGGATAATATTACTGACATAAATTTTTTCGTTTAAGAATTAGAAGAAAATAAATAATGATTACCTTATAGTA